TTACCTAAACCTACTCATCGATGTTGGCTGCATTGAGAGAAACATCCACATATTATATGCCTCACAGTAACAGCACCACTGTATGAAGTATTGGTGTCTAAAAATATTGATTTTGAATCTAATCAAGCCCCTAGATTTAGCTTCCAGTTTATAGAGGAACATGTTATCTGTAAGAAAACAATCAGACAAATATAGCACACAGATGTTACATAGAACAAATGTGGCTCCTCCACAAATCAATGGCCAGGGTGGACTGCCTCAGAATAAAAGAGATCAAGAGACACACCTATACGCAATATGTGGATTTTGAAAAAGTCAGCTGTAAAAAAGATGTCTGAGATAATTAAGAAATTTGAATATGGATTGGGTTTAAATGATTTTGGGGAATTATTGTTAATTTTGTTAGGTAAATAATGACATTGACGGATGTAAAAAAGTCTTATCAATTAGAGATATAAATTGAAATGTTTCAGGTGAAATCACAAGCTATCTAATACTTGCTTAAAATATGCTGGCAGGAGGGGGATCCCTGGGTGGCGCAGAGGTTTGGCGCCTGCCTTTGGCCCAGGGCGCGATCCCGGAGACCCGGGATCGAATCCCACGTCAGGCTCCCGGTGCATGGAGCCTGCTTCTCCCTCTGCCTATGTCTCTGCCTCTCTCTCTCTCTCTGTGACTATCATAAATAAATAAAAAAAAAATTTTAAAAATATGCTGGCAGGAGAAAAAGGGAAAGATAGATGAAATAAGGTTGGCCAAACGTTGAAGCTGGATGATGGATACATGGAGATCTTTATTCTAATTTTGAGTATGTTTAGAAATTACCCTAACACACACACACACACACACACACACACACACACACACACTGTGGTACCCCTGACTCCCACGAAGATCTCAGTTTATATCATATTATGTAAAATTCAGCCTCAGTCTGGGGTCTGGGAAAAACAGGTAGACTCAAATGGAAGAGGCAAGGAATGCCCCTAGGCAAGTTTGGGAGACTGTTCCTTCAAGCATTTTGGATTTGAAAAGATAACCGAAAACGATAGTGCTATATGCCTATTGGAATGACCAAAATCTAGAACACTGACAAGACCAAATGCAAAATGGTACAGCTCTGTATGACCCTATAATGATGGATACATGTCATGCATTTGCCCAAACCCACAGAATGTATAAAACCAAGAATGAACCCTAACGTAACTATGGACTTTGAGTGATAATGTTATATCAGTGTAGATTCATCAATTGTAACAAATATACCCCTCTGGTGGAGGAGGCTGAGCCTGGGGAAGGCTATGCACCTGTGAAGACAGGAGGTATATGGGAAATCTCTGTATCTTCCTACCCATTTTGTTGCAAAAGTGAAGATTGGTCTAAAAAATGAAGTCCATTAAAAAAAAAAAAGACAATTGAAATGATCTTTTAAAAGCTACTCTACAGGGCAGCCCAGGTGGCTCAGTAGTTTAGCGCCACCTTTAGCCCAGGGCGTGGTCCTGGAGACCTGGGATCAGTCCCACGTCAGGCTCCCTGCATGGAGCCTGCTTCTGCCTCTGCCTGTGTCTCTGCCTCTCTCTCTCGCTCTCTCTCATAAATAAAATCTAAAAAAAAAAAAAGACTACCTTGCTCAGGGTGTGATCCCGGAGTTCCGGGATCCAGTCCCACGTTGGGCTCCCTGCATGGAGCCTGCTTCTCCCTCTGTGCCTCTGTCTCTGTCTCTGTCTCTGTCTTGTCTCTCATTAATAAATAAATAAAATATTTTTTTTTTTTAAAAAGGCTACTTCTTGTACTGGGAACTGGTTACTAACTAAACCGAAATAACCAGCATCTGTCACAGACACACACTCAAAGATATCCTCAGGGCACACATCAACAAATCAGGACACAGAGGAGCGGATGCAGAGGAGCTGACACACCCAGAAAGACACACACAGATGACACACATGTAAGCTGGCCCCAGCACAGACCCTAGCACAGCCAGCCATGTGCTCAAATGCCCAAACACCCACAGGGCAGGAGAACACACCTGCTTCCCAGACATTGCTACAATAGAAATCCAAAGACAAACAAATGAATTTGGTAGCACTGAACATTAACACGTTATATGAGCAAGAAGGCTTGGAAAATGAAAACCAAATGTTCCATCACTCATCCTAGCACTACTGGAACATTTTGATTAACCTGAGGGTAAGTTTAAAGTTGTATCTCAAAAACTGAAAACCAAAAAACAAAGAAAAAGGAAGGATTGGGCATCAACTCTCCTGCTTCTTTTCTCCTTTCCACTGGCCAAAAGATAACCAGCACTGAAGGAGCCAACTTGGGCTCAGAGATGAAAATGCTGAAGATGGCAGTGCCGTGCCATTTGCCCTGGGCCATCTACCTCTGAATTGTTTCAGGACAGAGAAATAAGCTTAGCCTGTCCCTTAACTTTAATATAACATCAATATAACAATGTTCAATAAGTAATGAAACATACAGGTCTGCAGCTGAGGAAAGAGGTAGGAGCTGGAGACCGAGATTTAGGAGTGGTTAGCATACAGGCACTGAAGGAGTATGTGGTGTGGAAAGAATTAAGCACAACAAAATCAAGTGCTGTCTTTTTTCTATGGATGCTCTTTTTTGTTTGTCTTTTCATATTTATTTATTTTAGAGAGAGAGAGTGTGTGTGTGTGTATGTATGTGCCAAGGGAGGGGAGGGAGGAAGGGAGAGGGAGAGAAGCAGACTCCCTGCTGAGGGCTGAACCTAAAGCAGGACTCCATCTCACGGCCCTGAGATCATGACCTGAGCCAAAACTGAGTCAGATACATAACTGACTGAGCCACCCAGGCGCCCCTATGCCCAGTCCCTCTAAGAGCAAGATACACATCACTCCTTCTCACATCCCATAGGCTGGAGTCTGGTCACAGGGCTATGTTCTGCAAGGGAAGCTGGGAAGTAAAATCTTTAACTGGCCATGTGCCACTACCACTATCCTCGCAGAAGGGCAGAAAGGTATTGGAGGATAATCGGAACCCAGTTCTATCCCTTGGATACCTCAAACTCAAGACATCTAAGTGCAAACTCACCATGCTTTTTGCCTCCATTTCCAACTGTGCCTCCTTCAATTCCCAGCTTGACAAATGCCCTATCACTTAGCCCCCTCAAGTCGGTTTGCTGGATATTGAATTAATGTTAAATATATTGGATATATTGGATTTGGATTTCAGATAAAAAAGGAATCATTTTTTAGTATCAATATGTCCCAAATATTGCATATATGTTTATCTGCTAAATCTAGCAACCCTACATCCAAGCTAGAAGCCTTGTAGCCACTCTGAATTCCTCCCTTTTTGCACACTTTCAATTGCCTTCTAAGTCTTTCCTATAATATTCTTTCCTATAATATTTCTCGTTTTGTCCCCTCTTCTCTATCTCCAGTCACTTCCTTGGTTTGGACCATCATCCTCTCTCTCAAAGACTCCTGTAATTGCCTCACACATGGCCTTCCTGTTTCCAGCCTTGCCCCTTCTAATTCATACTATGCACAACAGATTAACTGGTCTTCTTAAAACACAAACCCAACCACATCATGTCACTCCTCTGCTTAAAATCCTTCCATTGTTCCCCATGGCTTTCAGGATAAACTTCAGACTGATTAGCCAGGCTATTTAGCCAGCCTGTCTCTCTTGGGCTCTAACCCATCACTCATGCCCTGGCCACATCCAGCTTCTGGGAGCCCTAGAATGGGGTTCATTCCTACCACCATTCCCACACCTACCTCACTCTTTTTCCTTTGCTTGGCTAACACCTAGTCATTACAAGGAACCCAGTTTATTTTTTTTTAAAGATGTTATTTATTTATTCATGACAGACACACACACACAGAGGCAGAGAGAGGCAGAGGGAGGAGCAGGCTCCATGAGGGGAGCCTGATGTGGGACTCGATCCCAGGTCTCCAGGATCACACCCTGGGCTGAAGGCGGCGCTAAACCGCTGGGCCACCGGAGCTGCTCAAAAGAACCCAGTTTAAATGCCACTTTCTCCAGGAAGACTTCCTATTATTTTAGGCACATACTTTTGCTTCCATAGCCCTTGACATATGTATGCCAATAGCTGACTTGTCTGTGTGTTTCTCCAAGCACATTTCACATTTTCTTTCAGAGCAAGGACTATGTCTTATTCATCTTTATACACTGAGCAACTGATACAGTAACCAGCACTAGTAAATAATCAGTGTTTCTTGGATGAATTATGGTTCTCTGGCTTGCAATGTTCCAATTCCCATTCCTGGCTGGTTCAGTCTTAGTTGGATACTTCCCTCCCTTCCAGATGTGGACCTTTCTGCACCAGCCTCAAGCCCATTGCATCTTTATTCTCACTGAAACTCTGAGCTCTGATTTCCATGGCTCAACCATGATGAAAAAGCTTCTTGTCCACTCCATTACGCTCCTACCTAATGGATGTTAGGATGAAGAAATGACACCTAACCGAATGAGGCCTTAGCCAGTTCCCCTCCTGAGCTGAGTTTCAGATCATGATTCCAGCTGACATTGGGCAGCTGTTAGATGAGAGTTTCTTGCCTGCCCTCCCAACCCCCACAATGTGCTCCCAGCCCTTCCTCATCCCCTGGGGAGTAGCTTCTCCCTCTCTCTCTCCCTCTCTCTCTCTCTTTTTTTTTGGGCCACAGCAGTGTTTAGCAGGAACAGGCAGCCATGCCTTGTTTGCACTGTGATCTAACACCAGCTGACAGGTGGGTTTCGGGGTGTCTCTGGGGCCGTGGCCTGTTTAGTGGATTTACCACTCTAAACTCAATTACAGGAGACTTTCACGCTCCATGGGCAATTCCAGTCCCTTTTTGATAAAAACTCTGGTGAGTAAATAAGTCATGATGGTGATAGGGGCCTGCCATTTAATATTCATTGAAGTACACATGTTTGGAAATTGGAAGCAGAGTTTAATCCATTTTCATATTTATATCAACATGCAGCTTTAAAAAAGGATCCCTCCTTTTCTCCACCAATCTTGTCAATTCCTCCTCTGGAAAGATAAAGGTAAACTGAATATAAACTTTATTTTTTTAAAAAATTAGAAATATGTGAAGTTGTAATAATTAAAGTTGTGGGCTTCAGATCTGTTCATTTTCAACTCACAACTAATTCTTGCATTTCATTTGAACTCCTAAGAGAAGTAGGTAACAGATAAGCCAAAGTCATTGCTGCTGCTGGTGGCTAGATTCTTGGATTTGACTTTCCTATGGGAACTCAGTAAAAAGCAGAGGTTGGGCATATGGTGATCTCAGCCCCAAGGTTGTACAATTTAGGGGAAGGTTTCATAGCCATTCCAAGTAATTAAAATAAAGGCAGAGGAAATCTTAAAAAAAAGAAAAAGTAAAATAAAGACAAGGGTTCACAAAATAACAAGTGTGTGTGTTACAGGACTGTTCATTGAGGGAGACCCGAAACCCGGGGATAAAGAGTTAACACAGGGAAGGGGGCGGGGCATTTTGTGGTCCCCTCACTCTACCTTTTTTTTTTTTTTTTTTTAATGTGGTTGGATGAATGTTTAAGTATGGCGCTATGGTCAAAGGCATCTTTTTTAATAATGCAACACACAGCTTCCTGAGGGGACAGCAGTTGATTTGGAAACTGAATATGGTGCACTCTAAATTCTCCTCCCCAAGGAAGGCTGGCTAACTGATAAGTGCCACGAGCTAGCATGGGGACTCATTCTGTCAAATCAACTTGCTGGAAAGGCCCCATGCGGAATCTTCTTCAGTCTCCGGGAGCTAATGTGAGCAGACACTTGTGACATTAGACAGTGCAGCAGGCCTGGCATGAAGGAAAAGTTCACCATCCGCCAACAAGGTGGTCTTTAGATGACAAGGATAAAGAAATCAGTGCAAATTTGTTAATGTAACAACTTGGAAAAGTATGCTTTCAAAAAAAAAAAGGTACTCTATGGGGAGAGAGGATCAAAAGGAAGAAAGGCAACAACAGTACTTGGAAGCTTTCTTTGCGCTTTCTGTACCTTTTGATGAACATGGCCTTCTCTCCTGGTCCTTTTTCTATCCTGGGGATACTCTGGTTAAGTGAGTGAGTCCCACTGCACAAATCATTGCTCCATCTAAAACCAACAACCGAATAAAATAAAAGTAAGGAAAGGAAAAGCAATGAAAAGAAAAGAACAGGAAATGCTTGTGACTTTGCCTTACTGGGGTAAATAACATGTCTCCTCTTTCAGATGGATGATCACCTGTCTTCAAGTGAGAATTCTCATCTGTCTGATCTTGGTGCATTGTCCTGGAGGAAAACTGAAGTGATTGGTATCTGGGAAGAGACACGGAGATAAGATGTTACCTCTTGTCTGACACAAAATGTAAGTAGGTGTTTATAACTCGATCAGGTATTTTAAGAATAGTACTACAGGGGAAAAAACGTAGTTATTAATATCAGACAAATTTGTGTTGAGCAGCTGATTCAAAGAGGTGGTACTACCAGGTTTTTTTCCCCTTGGTGGGGTCAATTTAATAAAAAAGGCAATTTACTATAGCATCCTTACTCCATATTTAAATTGGAAAAAAAAGACATAGCTTTGAATATGGTGAGCTGAATCAGCCCTTTCATGGTAGCTGGGAGAGCGTGGGCTCTAGAGAGACATACCCCGAGTTCAGGTCCTAAAGCAGTAATTTAAAAAATGGTAATTGGTTACCATACAGACCTCAAAGTCTCAAAACACTCCCTTTTAAAATAGTATTTTGTTAGGTGGGATTGCAGGAGACCTAATAGTGTATGGTTAAAACCTGGACATGGGGGATGACTGACGAGGATCAGTAGTTAAGCATCTGCCTTCAGCTCTGGTCCTGATCCTGGGGTCCTGAGGTCGAGTCCAGCGTCAAGCTCCCCATTAGGAGCCTCCCTCTGCCTATGTCTCTGCCTTTCTCTGTGTGTCTCTCATGAATGAATAAGTAAAATCTTTAAAAAAGAACAAACCAAAACAAAAACCCCACACAAGCTGGGCAGATCCAAGTTTAAATCTGTCAGGCAAGTTATTTCCTATCTCTAAGTGGTCAGTGTCCTCAGCTGTGACATGGGGTTGGCGGGGATATTTACCTCCTAGGCTTGCTATATCAATTAATTGAGGTAATGCCTGGCTCTGTCAGCTATTGTTGATGTATATATCCTAACAGCAGGGCTAATAATTTGCCAACAGATAAGGAATTGGTCATTTTGTGCTCAACTGCTCTACTCATTCAGAGGCCTTGGGGCTTCTAGGTTACAATAGAAAAAACACTGGAATAGGAATTGACATCCGTGGGATTTAGAGCACCCTTTCTGCTTAATTGAGGAGTTAGCTGATGAGCATATAGGACATTATTTACCAAGATTAGCATACCTCTGTGCCCAGTTTTCCCATCTGTGAAAAATCAAAGCAGCAGTAAACCTTTATTGTTTGTTTCAGGGTTACTATAAGACCCAGAGATGCTCAAGTACATATGATTTTCTTTTCTTCTTTTTTTTTTTATATATGATTTTTTAAAAGACTTTTATTTATTTATTTACGAGAGACACACAAAGAGAAGCAGAGACACGGGCAGAGGGAGAAGCAGACTCCCTATAAGGAGCCTGATGTGGGACTCGATCCTAGGACCCCAGGATCAAGACCTGAACTGAAGGCAAACAGTCAACCACTGAGCCACTCAGGTGTTCCTACTTATGATTTTCTTAAGCTGGAAAGACCTATCACTGCTTCAGACATAATTCATTGAAAGCTTACTAGGTCTTACATGTAAGGCTTCATTTTAATCTTCTCTACGAGGTGGGTTTTATTATACCGATTTTAGGGATGAGGAAATGGAGGCTCAGGGAGGCTAGATACTGTTGATTCCTCCCAAGTTCTCACAGCTAATAAACTGTTGAATCCAGAATCAATTCCAGATTTACCTAACTCCTAAGGTCCTAAAACCACTATGTTTTAAAATACCATTAAAATACATTGTAAGTTCAAAGTTAGCATTGGCCACATACACTTTCTCTGTTGGTTTCTACAGACATCTTTTTGATATTGTAAAAATCCCTAACTTGGACAGCAGCCACTAGTTAAATGAATGAAGACGAAGCATTGGGTAGAAAACAGAAATAATCAATGCAGGATCCAGCCTCTTAACTGGATAATGATTTACAGATACTGGCTGGCTGGTTAACTTTCCCTGGGACCTATGTATGTTTGCTGTGATTATTATCATGACTAGCATATGTTTGAGGGCACCCTCTCAGAGAAAGCCATAAGCTGTGTTAACTGATCTCCACCTCCTGAGAGCTCCTGGATGGCAAACTGATGTGCACGGCAAGTGGCTTCACAGACTGAAGTAGAGCAAGGTCTGTCAGAGAGGGAAAATCCATATTAATGATATGCTATAAAACACTTTTTGTTAGTTATATATATTCCTTTACTTTCATTTCCCAAGAATAGCTCAGCTGTCAAAGCATTTCCAAGATTTCCATAGATTCGGCAAATACTGTACGATCGAATTATTGCTCTGAGAGAAGTTGCAATTAAAACACATTAATCATTGTAACAAAGGATCCTTATTGAGGCTGACAAAGATGGTGAAATCTGATGAATAATTAGTCTGGTTAATCTTTTAAAAGTGAATTAAACTGCTAACAAGTTAAATCACTGTGATTTTCAAAATAAGCCTCCAGGGTGAGCAGAGAATGGGAATATTATCTTCATTTTTAAAAGATATTTTCTTCCTCCTTCTTTATCTCTCAGCCTGTACTAAAGGCCCTGGATTACAACAGTGTGGGCCTGAGAAGCAGCTGAGGAGAATAAAGCTGGTCAAGCCTGGAGGGCATGTTCCTCACTTCACCACTCCCCCACCCCCAGTGATTTCTTGATACATCTAAAATGAACAGTAGATAGAAGAACCATGGATGACCTTTAAATCTGATCCAGAACTAATATGGCACCTGCTCACCAGCCATTCTCAATGACCTGAAGTGGATCCATCACACGGTTCTGACTTCATCCCCACTGTAAGTCAAACCAACCATGACAATGGAGTTGTTCTATAATTTTCTCTTTTGCCCTTCTCTCCAGTCAGCTGGCATATTCTTCCAGACAACACCTCTTCTCTTTGCATTTCAATTACTCTGGAAGGTTTGCCATGCTTTGAAATAAACCAAGATGAGCAGATAGAGACCAATGGACAGAATGGGACAATAATCATTTGGGCTAAAGTCTTTTTTTTTGGATTTTATTTATTTATTCATGAGAGACACACAGAGGGGGGAGGGAGGGAGGGAGAGAGAGAGAGAGAGAGAGAAAGAGAGAGAGAGAGGCAGAGGGAGAAGCAGGCTCCATGCAGGGAGCCTGATGTGGGACTTGATCCAGTGACTCAAGGATCACGCCCTGGGCCGAAGGCAGGCACTCAACCATTGAGCCACCCAGGTGTCCCTGGGCTAAAGTCTTGACTTTGGCTGAACCTCCACAATTCTGGGGAGTTTTAGTGGGTGCTATGATGTGTTATCCAGATCCCGTTCAGGAAGGAAGGACTTGCTCTGCCAGCAGCTGGGAAAGCTGCTAAATTTCGCCTTCAGCTGTTAGCCTGCCCCTCCTCAACAAAGTCACACTTCCTTCCAGGGGTAGCTGGCATGCAATTACTGATCAATGCCAGGGTACAAAGACCAGTCCAATCTGGGACACGTGGTGGGGGGCATCCTGGTGCCAGAGTTCCCTGTGTGGTTGGCAAACACCTTTATTGGGATAGTATCACCACCCAATTTCTCTCTTACCCACTCCTCATTTCTTCTCCTCTCATAGGTTATCACACCCAAGAGCACTCTCTAATAAATCAACTGGCTGCTAAACCCCACCTTGGAATCTGCTTTCTGGTGGCCCCAACCTATGACACCTGCGAGGTAGAGGTCTCTGATGCCTAGTGATCCCATAAAAGCAGGAGGGGAAATGGATCAGTGAAGCTCCTAACTTAGCTGGAGGAACTGCTGCTGCTTCCTGGCTTCCTATCGCTCCTATGGCAAGTGTTTTCCTGCCAACAGATGCCACACGAGATACCAAGGATCTCCTAAGGGAAAGAGGGAGGACTGCTATCGCAGATGAAAGGCTCATAGCTTTAAAAATTGCTGGATCTTAAGCAAATTCTTTATTTTAGCCTAGCTACTTTTCTGTGATTGTTTCCTATTTGCAAAATGGGAAGATGCAACTGGGCTCACAAGCTTATTGGTTAAGTGAGATGATAAATGTCAGTTGTCCTCCCTGAAGTCCCCTCCAAGGATTTCATCCTCTTCTATATCCTCCATCTACCTCAGCCTGTTTTCCAGATTCCAGGAAAATCACTGCTTTTCTCTTTTTCTGCCTGATTTCATCTACCTGGGGTGCGGGTGCCTGGGGATTCCATTTTAGGCTAAGGGTGTTTCGGAGGGTGCTCCACCAGCCATCTTCTGCCCATCTAGCTTCTCTCTAGATGGCTGTCTCATCAGTTACATGTCTATCTATACATGTTAGTTCCAGTGGGGGGCCAGGGATACCACACAGTAACTCCCTGGCAACTGATGACCTTTCCTATTTGGAAGATATAGGGGACAAGTCAACAATGCTGAAGTGTGATTATTTTCAGTTTAAATCTGGGTTCTGTTCTTGGTTTCATGTGGGGGGCTGTTTCTCCCCCCACTAAACTGTAAGTTCTCTGAAGGCAGGCCGCATATCATCTCTTGTAACCCAGAGGATTTAGCTTGGAGGGAGTGTTCTTTTGCCAAATTACTTGGGGTCTTGACAAACAAACTGCTAAGAGAAAAAGCAATACCCATATAAAAACTTGTATGTCCTGGGATATCCCCAGTTCTGGCAATTTCCAAGCCACTTTAATTACTCTTTCATCTCCTGGTGATGCCCTTGTCTCAGGTCAGTCTGAGAGAAAGCCAAATTTAAATGCTCCTGCCATGAATCAGACCCATCTCTATCTTAGACTTGAACCTAGGGAATCTCAACAAAATTGTAAAGTATCAATGAAAAGTTTGGGAAGCAAGCTAAAACTGGACCTCAGAGAAAGGCGAAGGGGAATGGTGCTCACTTGGCCCAGGGGAAGAGAAGTTCTGTTCACTCCCTTGCAGTGCAAAAAGTCTAGGATGAGGAAAGTGTTCAAATATTCTTTGACTTTCCAAAGGAACAAACAAGATTGAAACAGGAAGGACTTTACTAGGATTGAACACTGAAATCTTTACAGAGATTAAATCAAACTAGTATGTGTGTGTCTGTTTCCTACTTTATTTTCAAGATTGCTTTTTAAATATTATTTTGTTTTATAGCTGCATAACATACTTAGAAGGTTGCAAAGTCAAATCTACAGAATAATGTATATTCAGAGAATTCTAACTATCCCTGGTCCTCCCGCTCCATCTTCTTCCTCTCCCACAGGACACGTTTTTATGTTTTTACTTTGTTTTGGCCTTTTAAAAAAATATTTTTCTTCCTTTTTACTCTTTCTCTCTGGTCATGTGTTTGTCTATTGTGCTTCTTCTGAGTTTTCCTAATTAGTCTTCATTTCTGAAATAAATCTTTCCCTTTATTTCAAATTCTTTCCTGGGTCTATCATCTCATTTCCAAATTTTCCTCTTTCGAAGTTGCCATTCTTTTATCCTGTCTATATTTCACTCGATTTAAATATTAGGATGTACTTTTCATCTGTTTCGTAAGCATGTTTTATTTACTAAGTGGTTTTATTTTATTTTTTAAGATTTTGTTTATTTATTTATGAGCGACACAGAGAGAGAGGCAGAGACATAGGCAGAGGGAGAAGCAGGCTCCCTGTTGGGGGGCTGATGCGGGACTCGATCCCAGGAGCCTGGGATCACGACCTGAGCCAAAGGCAGACATTCAACCATTGAGCCACCCAGGTGCCCCTACTGTGGTTTTAATTTGGGAGCACAAATGTTTCCCTGATACCCCAGCTGCAGTGACCTGCATCCTCCCTCCTCTCTATAAGCCTCCACCCATTGCCAGGCTTAGGAACGGATTCCCTGGATTTCACCCTTTCCTACTCTGCCGGGATCTTCCTCCACCAATTGCCGTCTTTTCTCTTTTTCTGTACTTTTAACCTCTCTCACCCTACTGGAGCTTTCCCTTCAGCATGCAAACATATTTGTATCTACCTATCTTTATTTTTAGGAAGATTTTATTTATTTATTTGAGAGAGAGAGCATGCAAGCGGGGGTGAGGGGGCACCCCTTTATTTACCTATCTTTAAAAAAATATGATAAACTGCCCTGTTCCCATCTCAGATCCCATTTAGCCACCTTCTTCCCTAATTCTTTTCTTAGCCAACCTTTTGCGAGGTCTATTGGTATTACTTCATTTCCCACTCCCTTCTCAACCCATGCTGTCAACCTATACCATGTAGCCAATCTCTACACACCTCTGCAGAAATTCTTATGGGGGTCCTCATTGACTTCCTTGTTGCTAAATCCAATGACCATTTTTCAGTTTTTATCTTATGTGATCTCTTTCTACTCTTAGACACCATTGACCACTTCCTCTTTCTTGAAGTGCTCTCTTTGGCTGGTTCTCTTTCTCTGGTTTCTCCTTCCTTAGCCAAACACATAGATTTGCTATTCTGAGGGGTTTTGTCCTTGGCCTTTGTCTCTTCCCATTTGCCCACTCTCCTGGGTGATCTCACTCACTGCTTCAACTTCCACTACTATTCAAACGCTAATAATTGCCTATTTACTTATTTACTCACACTCCACTTTATCTGAAAATGAACTTAAGATATCTCACTAAAATATACATTGAAAAATTAACAGAAAATCTAGGCAAAGGGTATGGAGCAAGGGAAGTAAACAAAGTAGAACATAAAATTTGGCTCTGAGATTCCCTGCAGTTAGTGCAAAAAGAAACAGAATAATGCATATGTTTCACTGTGTTCCTGAAATAAAAGTAAACAATTTGTTCTATAGAAGCACAAAATTTATGGTTCTGAGACATAAGCATTTTGTTCCAGTGGTCTTCATAAAGGGGACACTGCACTTTGTTATGGTGGAGCATCCTCACAATATATCAGTAAATACAACAATGTTGTTCTACAGGTAAGACTTCTGTATTTTATTTGAGAAGGGGGGGGCGCTCAAGCACAGGGAGGGGCAGAGGAAGAGAACCTTCAAGCAGACTCCCCTCTGAGTGCAGAGCCTGACACCGGGTTTGATCCCACGACCCATGAGATCATGACCTGAGCTGAAGCCAAGAGTCAGCCATCCAACCGACTGAGTGACCCAGGGGCCCCTTTCTGCAGGTTGTTTAAAAAAAATATATATATATAGTCTCTCAATATTGATGAATTAGATTTTTTAAAAAGTAAACATATGGAGGGCCAAAATGATGTATTCCAGGCACTGTGGATTATGACAACCAAGCCTCGAAAACCAAAGCTTTCAAACTTTCTTTAACAGCAGCCTTTGTTAAAAAATGAAGTCTCATGTGGAGTCCCAACTCTTAAAATCAATCTAGCTGGAACACTTCTGGTTGAAAGGGAAAGCAAAGCCATGTTTCTTCCACCTCCTGTCCATCCCCACCCATCCTGGCTGCCTCTGAGGTTCAGCAGAACACTTTTGGAAGCCACCATCCTAACTCAGATTCATGGGTAAATTCAGAACATCAAGTCTTGAATGAAGTGCTGCAGACAACTCCCATAATTATTTACCTAAGCTGAATTTTGGATCAGCACTGACTAAGGACATAGGGAAACAGTTATTCATCAATGCAAATTAGTGCACCTGTTTTGGAAGACAATCTAGCAATATCTATAGAAAGTAGTAATAAGTAATAGTGAATTCAAGGTTATATTCCCAAACACAAGTATTGTAAGTTGCCATTTAAGTGCAGACCTATATAATGACATGATTGGCCAAGTTTAAGATAGCACCAGGATTCTCCTAGGCAGTGGTTTTCAAACTTAAGGTGGTATTAGGGTCACCTGGAGGCTTGTTAAAACATAGACTGATATAATTCAACCCCAGAATTTCTGATTTAGTGGGCCTGGGAAGAAGCCTGAGAATCTGTATGTCTCACAAATTCCCAGGTAATCCTGTTGCTGCTAGTCTGGGGACCACACTTTGAGAATCACTGCCTGTTTGGAAATTTAAGGAAACCTAAAGGGGTCACCCCACCGATCCAGACAGAGCATCTGTTTGCAGGTATATAATACTCCTCAAAATATAATTTTGAGTATAATGTGACCCAGATGTATGGAACAATCAAGGCATTCAAGTGATGTGATTTAAAATGGCAACAACAGGGGTACCTGTGTGGCTCAGTTGGTTAAGCAGCTGCCTTCGACTCAGGTCATTATTCCAGAGTACTAGGGTCAAGCCCCGCATTAGTCTCCCTGCTCAGCAGAGAGTCTGCCTCTCCCTCTCCCTCTCCTTCTGCCTGCTCTTTCTCTCTCTTTCTCTCTCTCTCTCCCCCTATTTTCCTGTCAAATAAATAAATAAATTTTTTTTAAATAAATAAAATGGCAACAGCAAATGTTAAAGTGAGAAAAAAACTGAAAACCTTGCTTTCGGGGATCCCTGGGTGGCTCAGCGGTTTAGCGCCTGCCTTTGGCCCAGGGCGCGGTCCTGGAGTCCCAGGATCAAGTCCCGTGTCGGGCTCCCTGCATGGAGCCTGCTTCTCTCTCCTCCTGTGTCTCTGCCTCTCTCTCTCTCTCTGTCTCTCTCTCTCTCTATCAATAAATAAATAAACCTTTAAAAAAACACCTTGCTTTCTTCTTGGTCTTAGAAATATACATTAGTAAAGAAGTCTAAAGGACAGGAACACCTGGGTGACTCAGCGGTTGAGTGTCTTAGGTACTGGCTTAGGGCGTGATCCTGGGATCTAGGATTGAGTTCCACATCTGGCTCCTTGCAGGAAGCCTGCTTATCTCTCTGCCTGTGTCTCTCCTGAATGAATAAATAAAATCTAAAAGAAAGAAAGAAAG